GAAAAAGGAAAACAAAACGAGGAGATACAGCCTGCAAGAAAAAGATATTGCTTCTAAAGCCCAGAAGGAAAGACAAGAGCAAAATTTTAGATGCCTTGCTCATCTAGCCACACAGGTACAATCTCGTGGTATTTTGCTTCATCAACCTCTTTAGGCAAAAAGCCTAACAGTTTATAGCACAATTTTTTTATAGCATGTTTTAAAAGCAGTTAATGGATTATTTTGTCATTAATCTGTTCAGAGACGCGCATGACACCGTGGGCTGCTAACCAAAGTTCGAGCAGCACTAACTTGAGTTCCCAAATTTTCCTGATGCATCGGTCAAAACCAGAGAACTGCTAAAAAACAGCTTTTTCACACGTGCAACGGTTGCTTCTTTAATAGCAACGTCCTAGCCAAGCAATGGCTGCACCAGTGGCTGATGAGGCAGTTACACCTGCATAGCTTATAATTTCAAAGCGCTTCTAGATGTGTAAAAAGGTGCTAAAACACAAAATAAATAAATAAATAGACATGTAGTGTTTATGATTCTGTGAGGGGATAAGCCCTCTCTCTGGACTACGCGTACATTAGCAACCCTGAATTACCCGTTTCAGACGAAAGTGGCCCAACCCAGCCAGGATTTACCCAACTAGCTGGGCAAGTACGAGCTTTTCGAACCTCATGGAAATGCTTGAAGAACAAAGCTAAGCGTATCACAAACAGGTGGTAACTCTTACGTGTGATCACAGTGGAGTTCCTTAGTTGGCATCCAGCTGCAAGGGCTGCCTGGACACTTTGAGGAACTAGGTGGTAAACAACAAATAAGCATATCCGTCTGCTTTCCACACATTCTTTGTAAGGTTTTACAACCTCATTCGTTAGTCCAGCTGTTTGGATTCAGAGACTTGCTCTCTGAGCCCATCGTATTGATTTTACCCCAAACAAGAACCAGTCATGATTGCGGCTCTTGGTTGCTTTCATGAGAAAAACTAAAATTGTTCCAGCCTCAGACAGCAGTGCAGCAGTGAGGTTCCAAATAACCTTTCTTACGACAGCAAATTTGAAAAAAGTAGGAAAACGCCAATAAAATTGTTTCACCTTCCCAGCAGAACTGAATTCTGCTAACATGGTCTGCTCCTTCAAGAATCCATTAAACAACAGCATTAGTTCGAATTCAAGTTTAACTAGAGGAAATTTTCTACAGGCCATGTTCTCTAGTCTTCCTGTCTTTGTAACAACAGCTTCCTCACTTCACACAGCCCTGAAATACCAAGAACCTGAAATGCTGCACTGCTCAGTCACATCCGGGAACAAATTCAATGAACAATCGTGTCACAAGGCAGGACAGACACGGCACAGCTAAACGCCTCAAGCAGAGCAGCTACCTGCACTTTCAGGTGTGGAGAGAGAAAGTCAACTGTTTACAGTTTAAGTGTAAATATAAGCAATAATTACTCATTTCTTTACAAAAGCATCAGGCTATTTGTGAGTTTTCCCAGTTCATCTTCCATTGCACAGTAAGATCTGAATCAGTCTTATCCCCAGAAGTTTGTCAAGCACAGATTATTTGGTCTTCCACACACACCAGGGGTCTGACTGTGTCTCGTACACACCGGTGTAACGTGCAAGGCAGCACCGACCAGTCACGGGCTTAGTTCAGATTTTGCCAGTTCCAGTGCCACCTGAATTACTAGCTATCACAGCAGTAGGCATGAAGGCACTTCTTAAAAAGGTTTTAAAAGCCCATATGCGTGAACTGTTTGGAATCCATGAACTGGGCATTTGAACCCTAGACTCTAGCCAAGGCCTTTGTTACGTGGTTGCACGTGGAAGTTCACAGTACAGATTTTGCAGCAAATGCTAAGGCCGTTAACATTCACCTGGCCAGCAGGAAGCCAAGCCTCACTGAGGAGCTACAGGCTTTGCGCACCCAGGCGCCAACAGTTACTAGTTCCTAAGGAAGCCCTGGAGATCCATAGCCGGATCTGAGGCCACAGTATGGACACACAGGTCCTCAAAGTTATTTTCAGGGTCTTTTCCCACAACATTTGCTCAGAGGCAGACAAAGCAGCAGCGTAGTCAGGCACTGCTCCATTCCCACCCTATGTATACCCGCTGATCTAGATGCTTAAGGTCAATAGTTGGTGGAAGGGAAGGATGAAGCAGCTCAGTGAGGCGAGTGTTGTGTGAGAAGAATGGACTCATGCCTCACTGTGGACTTTCCTCTTACAACCCTGTTTCTGCTGTGCAAAAACTATTTCCTTAAATACAAACTACAAAAAAATGAGCACAAGGAGGTGCAGGAAGTCCTTATGCAGGCAGATACTGCCTACACAAAAGACGTGTTTTCGTAAACAAATAAGAACATCCATTGGCCAAGATATGTATTAAGATCCTACACATTTGTGACTGGGATGAACCAGAGAACAGTTACCATTCGCTGCCTTACAACTTGACATAGTGCATGCCGCCTCCTGTAGAGGTCCTTGCCCAGATTGTTCTGCTATAAAAAACATTGTTAATTTAAAAAAAAACCAAAACATGCGTGGTTTCTCATAGTACAAATATACGGCACTAGAAGGCAACTCCTGAGAGTATTCACCAAGGGAGGAGCAAGAGCCTGGACCATCTCAGCTGCAGCTCACAGCTTTAGCACTGGATCAAGATTGTCTGTCAGAATAGCTGCTATGAGTTAAGTGGGACAATTGCTAGTCATCATTGCACAGCCCATATGCTCTTATCTTAGAGATAGGAGAGATAAAGGCTTCTAGATTGCAGTGCATTAACAAAGGCCCTCTTGTGCTGCGGAATTATTTGCGTGGCTGGACTCCAGATGCAGGCAGAGATATACTGACGGGCCTCCATGCTAGAACTGCTCTTGGTGAGCAGAAGAACTGCTCTTCTTCCAGCAGAAGCAAAAGGAAAGAAAAAAACTTGCCTCCCTCTCCAGAGCTATTTGCTGCTTTTCTCACTTGTTGTCAAAGCTAAGCTTCAATCACTTTTTTTTTTTTACCCTAGCCGCAAATAAGCAGAAGAGCAGCAAGTCACCAGTATGTCACCTCTGGACAGATGACTCCTTCCCTCAGATCTCATGACAGATGTATTCTGACGCTCCTAATCACTGGGGTAGGTGGTGTAAGTATACACAAGACTGCCGACCTGTAGGCTGTGTTTGATGGAAGAGTGCATGGGGTTGGGAACATCGCATTTCTATCAAGCTCAAGCAGGACAGAAGCCCTAGGATACCATAGCAACAAGGCAGCTAAAAATGGTAATGAAAACAAGAGTAGAACTGAGATCTGTTACATCAGCATTACTCACCAGGTGTGCATTAGCCATCAGTTATTGCAACAGAACAAATAAGGCATGAAAATATTACGGCCATCTTATTGGCGTCAATGTTGTGCTTGTCTTTGTTTTGCAGAAAGTATTGGGTGAAGATTTAAGGCTCAATCATATTTAAAAAAAAAACCAAACTGCTAAATCAGTTGATTTTGTTTATATCCTGCATATTTCACATTGCATGTGTGTGTATATACATATATGTATATATTTAGAGAGAGAGGACCTCTGGGACTAGCACAAGTCATAAATTCATCCCACCAAATGTAGGTAACTACAGTGAGTTCAACCTTCTTCAGCATTTAGGGCATCTGAGCAGTTTTTCTACCACCAAACCAACTGCTTAAAGCAAATAAAAGTGACATGGTAAGGTTTAATATTGTCAAGTCAGTTGTTTGTACTAAGGCAGCTGCTGTTACATTTGTGTCTTCTGGTTTTGTTTTTGGTTCTTTCTTGTTGCTTACCCCACTGCTTGGAATAGGAGTTCTCCAAAAGAAGACTAGTCTCCAGTAATAGATTGGTTGCCTAACACCCATCCCAACAGCAAAACTAACATCAACAGAAGAGTATAAAAATATAGCAGTTAGAAAGGATACTTTCCAACCAACACACAGGCAGAAAAGGAAGATGACGCACTGAAGTACTTTTCTGACCATCACTGCATTTAAAATACTACAAAATTAGTAATGGAAACAGAACTGAAGATCCTGGGAGATCTTTAGACACAAGTTGAAACAGCAGGGTAGAAAAGTAATTGAGCACTCCACTTTTAGATTTAACAGCAACTGGCAGTGCTCCTGTAATTAGCGTTTTCTCAACAGCAAACATTCTGAATAGAGGTGTACCGTTATCTTAAATCCCCATGTAGTACACACAACTTTCAGTTTAAGTAAGCTGGTAAAGTAATGTTGGACAAAATTCAGAGTTCAGGAATTTTTGTGTAGAACTCCCTTTCTAACAAGGACTGGACCAGATCCGAATTGCATGAAATATTCAGGTGCCTTTTGAAGTTATAATAGAATAAATACTCTATTATTATTGGTACATTCCTTTCTCAATCTAGGTATACAATAACTTAATATATTTCATATTTAGATAAACAATTTTTAGTAGACACTTTGGCAGTCAAATTCTTACATATTCTCTATTTCTACAGAAGTATTTAGCTATGTTTTCAGAAAAAAATTATCTGGAAACTACTTACAAGAATTATATGCTGTACAAAACAGCAGCCCAAATCATCACTGCAAACTGTAAAAGACACAGTTAATAAAAGAGTATAAAAAGGAATGCATATTTGCTAGAAGATACCCAGCATTCACAGGAAGGAAGAAGATACATCTGCACTACCATTTTTTCTTTTCTTGCCGATGAAGCCAGAGGAAGATTGTCAGTTATTTCAGAAGCATTTCACTTATTTCAGTTTATGCAACAACTGTGTTTCCCACACTCCACACATGACCATTACAAAGTTTTGGAACAGATTTGTTCCCTTGGCCAATACTTGTTCATGACAATTAAAAAAGGTAAAAAAGTCTTCAATCATTTGTTTAGTCTGATTAAAAAGTTACTAACTGGTATATTACAGTAAGTGGGCAATAGGTGTTTCCTCATTACAAAATGACTGTTGTATTTTATTTGTAAAGGGTAGGGGGGGTGGGAAGAAAAAAGAAAACCACAGAAGGGCCTTCTGAGCGTTCACACAGAGAAATCTCTGGTTGGGCAACAGAGTGGAGCAATAAGAGTCCATAAGTACAGACAGACACAAAACCAACAGGAGGCCATCTTAATCCAGAAGATGGACCAGGTTCCAGTGAAGAACTTTTCAATCTGAGCACTTTCATAACTGTTAAGGAAAAAAAGAAAAAAGTAATAAACTCTTTATTCATATCTCAGACTGCAGTATCCCGTTTTTCACAGTGGGTGACAGACTTCAAGTAGGTTAACCGAGACAAGAAGCAGGGGAGAGCAGCCCTTTATAGAGCCAGATGTTGCTAAAGAATCACCTGGGAAAGACTTGCAATGTCTCTTCCAGCTTCTTACTTAAGGAGAAGAGATACACTAACAGCAAAAGTTCCTGTCCATATTTCCTTGTCTCAATGCAGAGAGACACTAATTTCTGAGCTTTAAAGAAATATACTTACTGGAACCAATGAGTTACTGTCATCATCACGTAGAGTGAAGCCAAGAAGAAAACAAAGTGGAAGTAGGCATAACTGTACACTGTGCCTTTCTTCTCATCGTAAATCACGGTCTGGCCTCCCCTTTTTTCAACATGATCTTCAGCATCAGCTGTAAGAGACAGGAAACAAGAAAGCTTTCGCAAATTTAATGAGAACTGAAGAGAGCAGCCGGCTTCACAAAGAACATAGCAAAACATCTATGGTGTGATTTGGAAAGTCTGATGCAGAGCAACACTTGAAAATTTCCTCGCCCTCAGGGCACAGTCCTAAGACTTTAACAAAAGAAACTAGATTGACACTGAAACCCAGCCTTGTATCAGCTTCCTGGCCTACTGGCTAGTTTTTGAGCATTTGGGCCATTTGAATTGCTCTGCCTGTATGATATTCTTCGGGCAAGTCAAAGATGATAACACCGACTGTACCAGGTCTGCAGACAGGACACTCCTGAACTGCAGTCCCTGCAGAGCTGCTGAGCCAAAAACCCAGAAGGTTTGCCAGCAGAGATTACCCTTCGTATGATGCAGTAAAGAAATGTCCTTTAAGGAATTATTAACTAGCCCGTTGTTTTAAAACAGTGTTGTTACATCTCTTGCTTCCTTCCCTAGCCTAACTTTGAGCTCTTCAGCTGCTTCGGTTTGATATGCCTTAGAACGAGGATAGAAGCAGCTCTCCACCCACAGCTGGGTCCTTACTCTCTTGGCTTTGGCCTGCAAGCCACAAGCGAGGTAAATTATGGAGTGAAAACGTAATTACCGTCTCCGTCAGGCATGCAGCAAAAGCAGCAACGAGCTACCTGTGGAACAGACAACAGGAAGAATAAGAGTCTGTGCTACACAACACAGCAGAACGGTTGGTGAAAGAAGGTCTGTTATGTCTGTGTTACAGATGCTAATTTAGAAAAGTCTGGTTTGTATTTCCAACCAGCAAAAAACTGAAATTAGGATTTGCCAAGTAGTTCATAAAAGCAGTTTCTAAGCTTCAGAAAAATCTACTCAGTAAGATTTAGAGCAAATTAACCATTCTTTAAGAATTACTCTATCCATTTTAAATAACTCAAGGTCAAACACTGGTGCAAATAACTATGACAAAATGGTGGAAAAGCTACAGTAAAGTGGTTGCACATTAGTCGTTCAGAGGGAGCTTACCTCTTCAGACTGGCATCTAACAGTTTTTTAGATAAAACATTTTTCTACTGAAATGAAAGTATAAGGAACTTTTAAAACCGTGCTGCATGGGCTGGAAATCACGACTGCACAAGCTTCAGTCAGAAATGTACTTATCTTTGCAAGGATTTCCTGAAATGGAGCCAGAATGAGTACTAGCAGAATGACTAAAAGCAAAAAGCTGGTTTTACTGTTTTATTTAAATGAAGATTTTCCCTTTTTTTAAGTGACAGAAAAAGGAAAGTAGAAATTGAGTCTTCTTGTATTGAGTGGTAATGTAAATGGGAAAAGGGTGCTGATCATCCAACAAACATACCAGTAAGCACATTTTCTGCACCAGACCACAGTGCAAGTCAGCACTTTCTGCAGTGTATCACCAACATTATTTGTTTGCATAAAATCCTACTCTAGGATTTATTTTGGTTGTGGTCTGATGGAGACAATTAACCCTGTTAGGAAAATTCCCCTCCCTAACTATTGTATCAATCAGTCTTTATAGTATGAAAGTGTATTAACTCGCTGTTCACAACATATACTGCAATGCAATGAGGTAGTGGAATTTTACTGGAGACTTTGGTATTGTTCATGCTTAAGTAAAACAAACTAAAGGACCGTCCAGCCCTGGCAATAAGGACTTTGCTTCTTGGAAGCTTAGAGCTGTTCATGAAGGACAAAAGATACTCCTGGACTACCAAGATAATGCCAAAATCCTAGCCTCTCTAATGCACCTTCAAAACCCTCCCAGCATCATAGATAACTATTGCAAGACCCACTCCAGAGATGTCTAGATCAACAGACAAGAGGCAAGAATGCTGCAGAAATACATTTGCTTTGCAAAGTTTTTACTATGATGAGTAATCAGTGGTGTGGGTGTTGGCGATTAGTCGAATCATGCTGTATCTGAATGCTTAGGGGTGTAAGGACCCTGAGTAAAACCACATTTGGAGTGCCTCAATTTGGCTGGGATACCTCATGCAAGTGAATATTTACCCTTGTAATTCTGTTGTTTGTGTTCTAGCCTCTCTCCTTGGTTGGCATGGGCCAGTTGCAAACTTTTCTAACACCCCCAAAAATCAGACAGTAAGCCTTTAAGGTAAAGCGTCCAACAGCACCATCAAAATAACAGTTTCTACCCTGTGTATCCACGATCACATGTACTCACTGGGTTCATACACTCATGAAAAGCCAAAAATCTAATTGTTTTTGAAGAGACTGGCTGAGAGTTTAAATAAAACCCCTTAGTCTGTCTCTCTACCACTGTGCCAAGCCTCACCTACAGCACCAGCCGGAGCTCCCTGGGGGCCACACCTGCCTTCTGAAGCAAGTGCTGGATTCCCTCAAACTTTTTAATCAGTTGCAATTAAGTCTGCGAGCACACAGAGCCACGCAATTAGCAATGCTGGTACACATACCACTAGCCCCTGGTAACACTGCTGTCTTCACACAACTGCAGAGCTACGGTCACACTCCTGGCCAAGAGACAACGGCCCTTTGCCACAGGGAAAGCACTCACAGCTCAATCAGTTGCCCTTCCACCAATCATTTCTTTATATTTACGTTCAGCAGCTCTTGTATCGCTCTTAAAACCAAACAGTCCGGAAACACCCCCATTGGCAAGCACTGCGGCCATCGAGCCGTATCCAGCGCCTGCACTGCGTCAGCTGCCCCCTGCCCACCCGCTCCTCGTGCCACAGGGTGCGCCGCAGCCCCCGGCCCTTCGGACAAGACCTCCGACGGCATAGCGCTGGCAGAGGAAGGCAGCTGGGCTTGAAGAGCAGCTGTTTTCCCGCTGGTTCCCCCGCCTCTGGCCTGCCCCTCCTCAGCACAGGGTGGGAAGGCACAGGTCCTCACTGGATCTGCCCGCGGCAGACAGCAAGCGCCGGGGATGGAGATTCATCCTCTGAACACATACACACACGTATACGTACATTTGAAGAGTGACACTAGTAAGCCTAAGTAAGGATTAACCATTACGTAGCAAAAACCCACTCATTTCCCACTGTTTCTGAGTGTTCCCTGGATAAGGTGGCCAAAGAAACAGGCAGATGGAATGAAGAAACACACACTGCCAAAACAGGGACAAGAAATATAATCTGAGATGAAACTATAGACAAAAAGCAAGGAACTATTTATGAGTGGAAATAAAAACAAGAGGTAGGAACTCGGGATCATAGTCGGTTGCTATGAGAACAAAGGCAACCGGACTGAAAACATTTGAGAATGCCTCCGCTTCTTTATCTGATAGCTTCCCAGAAGAGACTTCTCCTTTAAATAAGAAGACATGTTCTTGTGTACAGATTTACAGGAAGTCTGCAGGATGTTAAATAAACTGCAAGAGTAGCAAATTATTTCAGCACGTAAAGGCACCTCCATGGGACAAGCAAGGGCTGCCGAAGGGCCAATGTGGACAAGTGTTCTGACTCAAAAGGAAGCAGCATATGTGCTACAAACAAGCTTTTGTTTTCACCTAATTACGGACTACTTAGCCATGAAAACAACGCAAGAAAAGCACAAGAGGAAGTCTGCACAGAAATCCTGTGGAAGGAAGCAAGAACTCACTTCAGTTTCAGGTGCTGCATATATTCCCCTCAGTGCCTCTGAGCTTGCACGTGTTGTTGAGGTCAAACTAGGAGCAAAAGAAGACAGCATCAAAATCCTCAGCACAAGTATAGGCCCAACAGGAGATTTTTTCGACACCACAGCAAACATTATCTACTCCCATGTCTTAGGTAAGCATTTGCCCGGATACTGCATCAAGCACTAAGCATGTGAAAAGTTTGTTCTGCACAAGCATAAGCCAGTCTGACAACCGGCCACTGGCCAACTCAGCCTGAATCACCAGCTTCAAAGTAGGTCACTCCTGAAAAGTGGTGAATTCATTACCATCAAACAAGAGCAAACAGCTAAACGCTCCAATTTGCAATTCAGAAGACATCTCCCCTGCTGTGCAGAATCAATGCTTTTATATTAACTTCACAGCCATAACTTTGGCTCAGCTTTTTTGCAAAGGCTTTGCCAGTGAAGTAACAGGTCACTGGCAGCAGTCAGTTTTCAAAAGTAAACTACCAACCGCTATTGTCAGTGTACCAGCTGCTGGAAATCACTTCCTTGCATGATTGTAGTTGCCTGGGGAGGAATCCTTTCTAGTTTCTTCTGATTAGAAACACTTTTTGCCCACTCTCCCCCTTTCAAGATGTGTAATGTAAAGTTCCCATTACCCTCAGGGAGTTAATGCTTTGCTGTACACACTGAGCCTTAGCAAGCAACACTTTAAAACATTCCCCTTCCAGGCTGCCTTATCTCCCCAGCTACAAGGTGCACTTCCTTTGCAGGCTAGTGAGGGTTGTCTGCATTCCCGAAACACCTTTCTGAGGCACTGGGAATACTGTTCTAATGTGAACTAGAGCCATGATACATGATATCCATAGATGTGATATCAGATTTAAATGGAACACACATGCATATTTGATAGCAGAAGACTAGCTGTGCTACCTCTTCAGAAAGTCTTTTGTTTTCACTTCAAAATTACGAAGTTTCAGTATGTGAATCTTGAAGTGGACTGATTCAGAAGCAGAGCCTGCTCAAACACCTGCATCAGACAGGCTGTGCCGTCTTCTGGCAACCCGCACAGCCAAAACGAATGATACATCACCTTCCAATCATCAGCAACTCCCTTGCTCCCCGTCCCAGAGCATGACTTAATTTATCGATGTGAGCTGCAATATCACAAGGTGAGCATCACAACTATACGGGAGTAAACAGATTTTTTTTAGAGAAGGAGATCGCTGGCAAATCCTGACGGCAGTACTGTGCTCATCAGTTTTTTCAAAGGAAGTCCTAAACCCTTCCAAACCATTTTTTTTTGTTTTAGAGACCCTCAAGGAACAGTCATAGCTTCTGACAGGAAGCTACAGAAATTTCAGATAGCCTTTTTAGATGGACATAACTGCACTGAGTTTTTTCTTATAGAAAGAGTAAATATTGAATCCAAGCACCCTGAGACTGTTTGAGATCATGGATAGCTGGAAATTTTTTCCCTCCACCTCTAGATGTAAATTGCTCTATTTGGTTTTAATGAAACACATTTGTTTCAAAAGCTCTATTATCTTGTTGAACGTTTCTGACAAAACATCTAACCATTCTGAAAATAAGGAGACAACGAACCTTCCAGCTCATTTCTGCTCTACTTCTCCCCGTCACTTTGCCTGCATGAGGACTGGTTCCATGAGCCTTCGCTAGTTAGACCACAACATTGCATTTACATTGAGGTAACTGCAAAGCCCCAGACTTACCAAGAATATAAAATGCAGCCAAACAAAATGGTAGTACCCAGGCCAGTAACCAGGTTTTCATCTCTGTGCAGGCCTTGGCTAAATTCAGGTACACAGATTGTGATGTTCTGATTGTTTTCATCCAGGACTTCACAAAACAAAAGAAACAAAGAGAACAGTCAGCAAAGCTCATTTCACTGCATTTCAAAGTAGTCTTCAGACTGAAGGTTTTCGGTGAAATATTTTTATTACTTCAGATACTGGTCAGCGGTTTCTATCTATCTTTTAAAAAGATGATACAGAAAAAAAAAAATCTGTAAATCTGACCTGGCAGATTCTACATTTTGGGCAAAACAAAAATGCAACTTAGTAGAGGACTAAAACTTCTTGTTTGACCAGAGGTGACAAACAAGGAAAAAGACTGTTTGCTGAAATAAGAAGTTGGAAGTTTATCAACAGTTCACCCAAGACTATGGAGCCATATAACACTAAGATAGTACAGACCTGAGACCATAAATTTCTTCGACAGCAGGAGTGCCTTGATGACAACTAGGAAACACATAATTGTTGAAAAAAGGTGATGTGTAGCTGTTCTGTTCAAAGACTGATATATAGACGACCAAACAAAAGGAGATGCATGAGTTAAAGGCAAGATTTTACCTAAACATCTAAGCAAATACTACTGTTAGGCCCCAGGCAAGATTTTATCTTAACAACCATGTAAATACTACTTCTAGGTCCCTGAAATGAAACCAATTCAGTCCTCAATGTTCCAAGATGCATCTGGCTTTTTAGTATCTGCTTAGTGTCAAAGCACAGCACAGCAGTAGCCTGTAGCATCACTCCAAAGCAAGAGATTACACTTGCACATTATCTCAAATAAAGAGCTTTTTGAGCCAATGCTTTTTAAAACAAACTGTGTTCCCATCTCCTCTTTCCTTCCAGCAGCCATTTTGCATCTCCACTGGGACAGCACAACTGTCTGTAGGGGCAGAGGGCAAAACGTGGCAAAGGCTGCACCCAGGTTAAAAATAAACTCAAAGTCAGTCCCCTGACCTGGTGAGGAAGGACTTTGTGTGGCCCTACAAGGATGCACAAACAGCTTTATTGGCACACAGCAGGGACAGCGCGAAGGCGGGAGCAAAAGAAGGGACGACAAGCCTTTATAGAATCATAGATTCATAGAATCATTTAAGATCATAAAGCCCAACTATTAACCTAGCACTGCCAAGTCCACC